ATCTTCTCCTCCAACTCCCGCAGCAACTTGGTTTCCTTCACGGTGCGCTCCATTTCCTCCATCATCTTGCGTTGCTCTAGCAACTGGCTGCGCAGCACAGCCTCGTTCGGGGAATGGCTGTGCTTGGAAGACTCTAAGCTCTTGATGACGCTCTTGGCCTTCTCGACGTTCTTCTTGTAGTTCTCCTCGCGCGCTGCGTCCTCGTACTCCTTGCGGGTCAGCTTTTCCTGAAGGGCCATTGCCTTCTGCCTCTGCACCTGCAGAGCGGCCTCACGCTCCTCGAGCTGTAGTGTCAACCGCTCCCTCTCCGCTTGCGCCTTTCGCAGCTCGTCCTTCAGCTGCGCGAGCTTTTGCCCGAGACCCGTGGCGTCGCTCTTGCTGTCGCCGTTGGATGACTGCGTCGCGCCGCTGATCTCTTCCAACTTGCCCTCCAGCTCCATTATCCTCTGATTCGCCTTGCGGTTCTGTTCTCGCAACGCGTTCAGACGCTCCTCCGAGTCGTCGAGCAACGCCTGCACGCTCGGCAGCTTCTCCTCGTTGCCCTTCTGCCGCGCCTTTAGCATCTTGTTCTCCAGCTGCAAGCACAGCAGCTTCTCCTTCACTTCTAATGGGATCATCTCCGTACCGGCGACGCTGTTGCTGTCGACGTTGCTGGGTTTCGCCATGTTCTCGGCGGCTTGCAGCTGAGCGCACTTGAGCTCCTCGTTCGTCTCCCTCAGCGCGTCTCTCTCAATGACCAATCGGTCCCTCTCGCGTTGTAGAGTGTTCATCCTCGCCTCCCTCTTTTTGTCGTCACACACCAGCCGGTCATACTTGCCGCTCATCTCGTCCAGCTTGTGCTGAGTCTCCGTGAGCTGCTGCTTGCAGGCTTCGAAGTGGTTCCGCAGCATCGTCGTGCGCTTCGTCTCCTCCTCGTAATCTAACTTGGCTTGCAGATACTCAAGGTTCTTATCCTCCAATATCTTCACCTGCCTCTTTAAGTCACCCATGTCCTCCATCTTCTTCTTGTACGACTCTATCGTGAGCTCATACTTGGCCACTTTGTCGACGGTCTCTCTCAAGGCGTCCACCTCATCCTTCAAATGATTGGCTTCATCAGCAGCCTTCTGCAGATCTTCTTGCCTGGACTGCAGTTCCAATACTTCCTTCTCTAGCAGTTCTACTTTCAATCTGTAATCATCCCTGGATGTCTCTACCTTAAATAGCTCGTCCTTGAGTGCCTCTGCCTGCTTGCGCAGACCAGAATACTTGAGGATAGAGCCAGACTCCTCTGGATTCTCAAATTCGTCCAGTCGTTCTTGTAGCTTCTTGTTCTCCACCATCAGCGCAGCTTTCTCCTCCTGCAACAGCGACAACTGCTGATCGAGTTCGTGGCACCGCTGCGCCAGCTGATCCTTCATATCCACCGCTGCCTGTAGCTCAGCATACAGTCTCTGCTGGATACCATCAGCCACATCCATAGTCTCAAAGTTCAGACTAGTGCCTAAGCTCAATCTAGGACCGTGGACACTGCTCTCCAACTCCTGAATGCTCTGCATTATTGCCTGCTGCACAGTCTCCTCCATACCCATTATCCTGGTAATATACTGCTGCTTTTGGTCGCAATTCACAGCGCAGCCTAGAATTAGCTGCAGCAAACGGCGTAGCTCATCAGTGTCGCAATGTTCACCAATCTTGGTTGCGTCTGGCTTGATGTAACCAGACAGCTGCTGATTCAAGCACTCCACATAATACTCCATCACAGCCTCCACGATCTTCTTCATGTTGCTTACCCTCAGACGCCAATTGGCAGCCACATCGGTCTTGATCTTAGCCTTCCACACTGCCGTGAACCATTCAGGCGCGATTTGGGCTAAGGCCTCCGCCAACGCAACCCCGTCGCTTATATCCTCTGCGGAGTTGTGCGGCGCTTGAAGGTCAAACGTGTCCAACCATTTGATTAGATTATTCAGCTGCTGCTGCTGCTGCTGTTGCTGTTGATCTCCCATGTTGCTCCTCCGAAGAGAAAGAAAGAGAGAGAGAGCTGTTCGACACGCGTTCGATTTTTCGCTTTGTCAATCCTCACAAGAAAAGGTATTCTTGTAAATGCAACTCGTATTCGCATACATAATTCAAAAAGTTCACTCGCCAAGTCAAACACGACACTGCAAGCTCAACGAAGAGGAGAATTCTCGTAGACCATCTGTCGGCAGTCTGCACGAGCTAACCAAAGACTCACCTACGCAGTTATCATCGCGCCCCGATACGCGTGGCGATAAAATATTATCAAAGCGGAAGTCGTGAGATTGCAGGTACCGCCTTGGACAGCAACTCCCGTACGAACTCCCGATAATCCACACCGTAGCACATATCAATCAACAAAGATATTGCTCGGGCTGGCCATTGCTCCGACGTTACGCGCTAAAGCGCATCGAATTCATCGCGTTCGCTTCACATACGCGTTGTACGAACATGTATGACGTTTAGGAGATGAAAACCCGACGTGAAATATTAATGTTACGCTCGCCTTTTTCTTCTTTTATTCCTTATTGAATCGCCAAAGGCGTGAATTACATCTGTTTTGTTCTAATTGCAGTAGATAAAGATTTGTTTAATCTATCGCTGAGTCATACTACTTAAAAATCAAAATGTCCATTCGCTATTAAATCGTACTACTTGAAAATAAAAAAAGTTTCTAAAGCCAATATCAGACTATAGATTAGAATTGAGATTGAATTGAAATTTAGCCAATCAGAGCAAAATACACTAAGCTCAAGTTTGGTGAACTTTGCTCTGATTGGGCAATTCAATCTCAATCTTAATCCGTAGTCTGATACGGGTTTAAGCCTGCATTGCTTGCTACCAATGGCTTGGTTTACATCGTGCACTTGATACGCGTACTAAATAGTAACTTTCTACTAGATAATCTTAATATCAATATATATAAACAACGGTATATTAAGCTAGTATAATACTCATCAAGCAAACGTATTGTATTGATTGAACACGTCGCCGTTGATATGCATTGTCAATATTAAGATTACCTAATAGAAAGTTACTATATAATACGCGTATCAAGTGCACGATGTACCAAGTCGATGACGTATATATATAGACCAAGCATTCCTATACTTCTGCTGTAACAGCGAGTGAAGTCGGAGGTTGGCAGTTTAAAACAGAGTGAGAAAGTTGATTTGCCCCTAGTGCTTTCTCATTCTATCGTATAGAAAGAATATGGCCACTGTCAAGCTGTTGTAACGTCCGGACTTATTTTGAAACATTAATAATATATTAATATAGATCGGAGGCCGACTTGTCTGATTTCAGACATCACTAGATATTTTATCCCTATGTTACTAGATGTAAGTATGTGAGCATATATATATTCGCGCACATTAAATATTATAATTAAAATTATAACGCTGAATACTGCGTGTCGTTAGAGAGTCTTAAAATCGATGGATCAACTGTAGACAAAAGAAACCGTAATCGCTCAATGCGATAAGGCGTCCCGCTAACATAAACAGGAGCATGAAAACTGAATCCAAACACCATTCAGGACCGACGCGGCGATATCGACGCGATGACATCATACCGATGGAATGAATTTCTTCCATCTCCATGACTCCATCAGCTAACCAGAAAACGACTCTCAGCGACAAAGCGACATATAAAAACGCGCGCATTTGTTGAGAAAGCGATTATTTTCTCATAATTATAGCATGTTTGACTGGCTCTGGGTTAACCCACTCTGGGTTATTCAGCCTACGTTTATTGGTCAAACAAATACTTATAAGCTTTATGATTAGCTAGTAAAGACTTATGACGTCATTAATCGCTCTCGGAGCGATTAACCCAGGGCCAGTCGAACACGCTATTAGTCTCTGGTAATTCTCGTGTACTTATTTAGAATATATTAGTCGTAAAATCCGACTGTGTTGCAATTACTTTTGCCTACACTTCATTTTTCGAACGTTGCGAAGTCGAAATTCGGAATCGCGGGCCGCATCATCCCGCGCAGCGCCGGAACATCCGAGACCGAGCCAGGAGAACGAGCTGATTTCTCGCCAGATTCATCAATCGTTTCGCCAGACTCCGGAGACCCAGGGTAAAC